CTTGATCTCAGCTCAGGTCTTTATCTCAGGGTCGTGAGTTCAAGCTCTGTGCTGGGCTCCATGATGGGCATAGAACCTACTTTAAAAAAAAAAAATCCCCAAGATGTTTTTTGCCGAAATAGAAAAATCCATTCTAAAAAGAAAAAGAAAAATCCATGCTAAAACTCGTATGGAATCTCAAGTGACTCTGAATAGCCAAAATAATCTTGAAAAAGAAGACAAAGTTGGAGGTTTCACATTTCCTAATTTCAAAACTTACTACAGGAGTACCTGGATGGTGTAGTCAGTTAAGTGTTTGACTCCTGACTTTGGCTCAGTCATGATTTTATGGTTCATGAGTTGAAGCCCTGCGTCAGGCTCTGTGCTGACAGCATGGAGCTTGCCTGCTTGGGATTCTCTCCCTCAAAATAAATAAACTTAAAAAAATTTTTAAAAAGGAAGGAAATTCTGAATGATGCTACAACATGGATAATCTTGAAGACTTACGCTAAGTGAAATAAACCTGTCACAAAAGGACAAATATTGTATGATTCCACTTATATAAGGTACCTTGAATAGTCAAATTCATAGTAGAATGGTGGTTACTAGGAGCCAGTGGTGGGGAGAGAAATGGTGAATTATTGTAATTGTTTGGGACAGAGTTTCAGTTTACGAAGATGAAAAAGTTCTGGAGATGGATAGTGGTGAAAGCCCCTCGACAATATGAATGTACTCAATGACAGTTTTGTACTTAATGACATTTTTGTACTTTTAATTTTTTTAAATGCTTATTTAATATTTTTGAGAGACAAAGAGACAGAGCGTGAGCAGGGGAGGGACACAGAGAGAGGGAGACACAGAATCTGAGGCAGACTCCAGGCCCTGAGCTGTCAGCACAGAGCCCGATGCAGGGCTCAAACACACGAACCGTGAGATCATGACCTGAGTCGAGGTCGAACGTTTAACTGAGTGAGCCACCCAGGCCCCCCGACACTTTTGTACTTAATGTACACTTAAAGATGGTTAAGATGGTAAATTTTATGTCCATTTTACCACACACCCAAAAAAGAAGGCTAAAATTGCTGTTAATCTTTCTTGCATTGATTGAATGACATTTTATTTTCATTTTTTAATTTTTAAAAATATTTATTTTTGAAGTTTATTTATTTATTTTGAGAGAGTGAGAGAGAGAGAGGCAGGCAGAGAGAGAGGGAAGGAGAGAACCCCAAGATGGCTGCATGCTGCCAGTGCAGAGCCTGACGGGACACCGAATCTCACCAAGTGTGAGATCTTGACCTGAGGTGAAATCAAGAATTGGACGCCACAACTAAGCCACCCAGGTGCTCCTTAAATATTTTAACTAATCTCTACACCCAATACCCAATGTGGGGCTCAAACTTACAACCCTGAGATCAAGAGTTGCATGCTCTACCAACTGAGCCAGGCGCGTGCGTCAAATGAGATCTTTTTAGATGTCATAAAATCACATACCTTTCTATAAAACAGTGCTAAAGACCCAGTTCTCTTTGGTTTGCTTATTCCAGCTGTATGTGCCTCTTGTGCTTTAGTCAGATGGTTCTGTTTTGGAGAAGCACCAATTAATGACTGAGCAGTAAGTGACACAGGACTCTCGACTTTGGACTCCTGAGTTGTGTTCATGGAAATTGGTATCAGTGTGATCTCTCCAGCATCATTTGCAATACCTAAATGTATAAGCAAGAATTCTATTTTAGAAATAAGTTGCATGTGTTCCAGAAAAACTGTCAATTATCTACCTACCTACCTATCTACCTAGCTATCCAAACATAGGAATAGGTTAGAAAAGAGGAAAGCTACAAAAATTGTAATTCTAGGTTATAACACTCTTGTTTTCTATTTCTGCTCTGAAACAATGTTTTCTTTTGAACTCTTAAGGAGATGTTTATAATTAAGAAAAAAGATTTTTGCTTAACACGCTCATTTGTAAAGCTCAGATAAGAAAATAAGTCCAATGAAAAGGGTGGTAAATTCATAAAAGTATGAAAATTCAAAAACCAGTATAAGTTCAAAACAAAACAAAAGGTGGAATACAGAAGATTTTTAAGGCAGTAAAACTATTCTGTATAATACTATAATGTTAGATATATGTTATCAGACTTTCATCAAAATCTATAGAAGTGTACATCAACAGTGTACTTTTATGTAAATTATGGACTTGGGTCATAATGTGTCAATGTAGGTTCATCAGTTGTAAGAAATACACCATTCTTTGGTATGTTGATGGTGATGAGGTCTGTGTGTGTGTGGGCAGTGGGTATATGGGAAATCTCTATACCTTTTACTCAATTTTGCTGTGAACCCAAAACTGCTCTAAAATAATAAATTAAAAAAATGGTATAGGTTAAAAAAAAAAAAAACTGGATCAAAAAGGCCATGTGATTCAACCCAGCAAGACATTTCTTAAATTACTAACCAACTCAGAAAAAAAAATAAAATAAATACATTAAAATGTTACCGTGCAATGGGATTGTAACTTTATGTCCTGTTGTCCCTGTGACTATGGCTGTGGCCATAGTTAGAAGACTTTGCCCAGGTGAAATTGATAGATTTTCAGCAGTAATGCTTGAAGAAGGAGCAATTTTCAATTTTGTTCCTTCTGTTATGATCCTGTCCATAAGTATTTCTTTTGGGGGATCTTCCCCAAAAAGTCTTCTCTTAGCACTCCCTGCAGTAGGAGAACTGTAGCGTTCATGAACAGAAATTGGAGACAACGGTTGCATATCTAATAGAGAGAAAAATAAATTTAAAATAGTTTGATATGTATTCTAAAATAATAAATCAGGTTCACTCGTTCACTCAAAAAATAGATACTGAGTTACTATATGCTAAGCAATAGGTATTCAGCAGTAAATAACACGGCTTCTATCTTCACAGAATATAGAGTATAGCAAAAGAGGTATGAAAAAGTTACTACATGTGAAAATTATGATAGCTTATCTTCCTGGTTTCTTGAACCTCTGCCTACTATTAAAGGAGCAAAATATTAAGGGTAAAATAGAAGCTGAGAGGTAGAATGAGGTGACCACTAAATTTGAGCAGTCCAATTAGCTTCTGTCTCCCAATCTTATCTAGTAAATAACATCTGAGAAGGAAAAATCAGTGATTTGGTTCACAGTTTTGCCCCCTCCTACACACCCATACTTCAAGCAGCTTAAGGCAGTAGCTTCGGCTTTTTCTTTTGTTTAAGTAGGCTCCATGCCCAACATGGAGCCCAACATGGGGCTTGAACTCACAACCCTGTGGTCAAGACCTGGGCTGAGATCAAGAGTTGGACGCTTGACCTACTGAGCCACCCGGGTGCCCCTATGGCTTTCTGATTTAGTAGGTACAGAATCATCTTTTATAAGCTCACGAGAAGATAAAGATGAGCAAAGGTGATAAGACTCTGTTTAACTTGCCTTAATCTGAGGGTTGGCAGTAGTGTGTTGATTAAAAGATTATAGATTATATTTAGTTTTCAATGCTATCCTTCCATAGGAGTGGCTTTCCCTATATACCAAGTGTGTAAAGGTTCTCCTAGCCCCTAAAAACCCTACATCTTTTTCCACAATCCTTCCCCACTTTCCCTGACCCACTGATTCTTTACAGGTATATAATATACTTTTTATTTTTATCTATTTATTTTTTCATGTTTATTTTTGAGAGAGGGACACAGCATTACGGGAGGAGAGGCAGAGAGAGAGGGAGACACAGATGCAAAGCAGACTCTAGGCTCTGAGCTGTCAGCACAGAGCCCGACATGGGGCTCGAACTCACAAACTGTGAGATCATGACCTGAGCCAAAGTCAGACGCTTAACTGAATCACCCAGGCGCTCGTATTTTTTATTTTAAAAGTTTTTTTTTTAAAGTAATCTCTATACCCATTGTGGGGCTCAAACTCACAACCCCAGATCAAGAGCTGCACACACCACTGACTGAGCCAGACACTCCTATGGTATGCTTTTTTTTTTTTTAAGTGTACTTATTTATTTTGAGAGAGAGAAAGTGGGAGTCGGGGAGGGGCAGACAGAATCACAAGCACTGACAGTGCAGAGCCCAATGTGGGCTTCAACCCCACAAACTGAGATCATGAATGACCTGAGCTGAAGCTGGACGGTTAACCAACGGAGCCACTCAGATATCCTACCTATAATGTGCTGTTTAAAGTGAAAGCATTTCAGGGCACTTGGCTGGCTCGTCAGTGGCACATGTGGCTCTTGATCTCAGGCTCGTGAGTTCGAGCCCCATGTTGGGTGTAAAGATGACTTATTAAACATGTTTACAAGGTATAAAAATAACTTCTGGAAATGATTTGACAGCTCTCTGTATTAATAAGGTGAGAGGAGAAACAGTTATGTCTTAATAAAAATCTCTGCGTATTTCTGGGGCTTATGAAAACAGCTCTGATTTCCCAACCTCAGTGGCAGATAGAAAGTTCTGTGGTAACTCCCATGATCACTTAATAGGAGTGTACCTGGATCCTTTATACATAAGAAATCCAACACAGCCCTTGAATCTGACTAGGAATGTTTAAGCCGACATTTCAAACAATTTTTTTTGAAGTTTATTTTTGAGAGAGAGACAGAGTGTGAGTGGGGAGGAGCAGAGAGAATGAGAGACACAGAATCCGAAAAAGGTTCCAGGCTCCAAGCTGTCAGCACAGAGCCTGACACAGGGCTCAAACTCACAAACCGCAAGATCATGACTGCAGCTGAAGTCGGACGCTTAACCAACTGAGCAACCCAGGTGCTCCTAAAGCTGACATTTAAAGAGAGGGTTCATAGTATAGCCATGAGGTTAGCTGCAAACCCCTTCAAATTATCTTTTGTTAGCACAGAAGTGGAAAAGATACAGTGAACTCTTTACATTTAATAAACACAGAAATTAATATTATGTCTTTTTCTTCCTAGAGTCAAGGCTCAATATTGTTTTCTAAGGATTTTCCATTATTTGATTCTCTTGCCTGAACCCCTATGAGAAAATACTTTTTTCTTCTACTTATAAAAATAATATGGGGCGCCTGGGTGGCTCAGTCGGTTAAGCGTCCGACTTCAGCTCAGGTCACGATCTCGCGGTCCGCGAGTTCGAGCCCCGCGTCGGGCTCTGGGCTGATGGCTCAGAGCCTGGAGCCTGCTTCCGATTCTGTGTCTCCCTCTCTCTCTGCCCCTCCCCCGTTCATGCTGTGTCTCTCTCTGTCTCAAAAATAAATAAACGTTAAAAAAAAAAAAATTAAAAAAAAAAATAATATATGCCCTATATGTTCACAGCAGCATTGTTCATAATGGCCAACAAGTGGAAATAATCCAAATGTCCATCAACTAACGAATGAACAAACAATATATAGCATATCCACACAATGAAATATTATTCAGTCATAAAGATGAAGAGCTGATATATGCTGCAATATAAACAGATCTTTAAAACATGCTACATGAAAGAAGCCAAGCACAAAGGCCACATATTATATGATTCTATTTATATAAAATTCTAGAATAGGCAAATCTATAGAGACAAAAAGCAGATTGTAGTTCCAGGGGATTGGGTGGGGGAACTGGACAGTGACTGCTATTGAATATGGGGTTTCTTTTCTTGGCTGATGAAACTGTTCTGGAATTAGATAATGGTGAGAATTGTAGAGTCTTATGAATATACTAAAAACTACTTAACTGTACATGTTAAAAGGGTGAATTTTATGGTATGTGAATTATAACCCAATGAACAAAAGAGCTCACCGAAAGAAAATTCTTAGAATACCAAAAAACTGTAATATAGAAAGTAACATCCACTCAAAACACCACCATCTGGAGAGAATCATATTTGGGTGACCATTATTCATGATCTTAGTTCTGAGATGTCTAGCTAGGCTGTAAACACACACACACATATAAAATATAAATATATATGCATATGTATACATATGTATATTACAGTCAAGGATACATACACATATGCACACATTCTCACACAGACTGTTCATACTTTGTTCAGTTCCAATATGCAAGAATTTAAGTTACCATAGTTTAGTTAAAATAACAACAGCCTAACAAAATGGTTCAAATTTCAGTTTCCATGATGTACTAACTGTAACTGCATAAACAAACTTTAGTTAACAAATCATTATATAACTAATAGATGTGAATCATGATCAGTAACTAATCATGTTAATTCTTTCAAAGTCTGTCACTGATTGGTCAGGGCACATCTGCTATTCAATTCATGAGCAC